AGTGAGGAGATGGGTGGTGGAGGGATGCTGTTAAACTGTCAATGAACGGAGGTAAGTTTGCTGTATATATACACAGCGCTTAACTCGTTGATTAAGCACCACTCGTGTCTAATTAGGTTTGATTATCTGAATGTGCTCCACGTGTGTTTAATTAGGTTTAATTATCTGAACGTGCTCCTCCCGAACTTTGTTAATAAAACATCATTTAAGTGTGGCTAAAGTTTTCAAACATATATGTGGGAAGGTTTTGCATGAGAGTCAGTCTATTAGAGAAGAAAAAGGTAGCCACAATGGTATATATGGACAAACGAAGGCAGCTTAAACAATGTAAACAGTCTAATCTTCAGGCCGGATGTGTAATGACTGATTGCAGTGCAGTGTGTACCAGCGGTCGTCATGTGTTTGCTGATGACCAATGGAAACAGCCTGACCTTAGCTCTTATCTTGTGTACATGTAAAAACCCTTACGCTAAGAAAGTATATTTCCTAATACACAATATATTAAATGATATAACAGTGTATTAGAAAATATACATAATAACATATTGTGTAAATATATGACAATATATTGAATAATACATAAGGATTTGCCGCTTTCATATATTGGAAAATATATATATTTATTTATATCATAATGTATGTCACTTCATATTCAGTAATACACTTCATAACATTTAGTTGTACATGTGATAGATATGGCACGTGTATAAATATATTGAACATATATTTACTCATGCAGTATACACACACTCACATAGAAATATATTATGTAGCTAATAGGCTATCCATTTCTCATATTTTGTAACTATTTACACATTATTGATACTTTCATACTAGTTACAAGCGCACCTGCTTATACTATTTATAAGCTTTAAGCCTGCTTGCTATTTATTTAGCAGGGAGACCAACACTGGGCTGAAGAGAGCGCAGTCATTTCCATTTTCCAGTAAAGTAACATAACCGTAATAAAATGTGGCCAATCGTCGACATAACCACAGGCTCTACTCTTCAAGACAATGGTAACCCCAAAAACTCAGACATAAACCCTTTTATAATAGAACATTAAATACTAACAAATCTCCCATTATATTAATATTGAGCAAAAAAAAAAAAAACATTTAATTTTAACATTTACTCTCCTTTAACAGAAGCAAAGCATGCTGGGAACTTGAAATCTGCTGCAACTCATTCCAGTACGTGAACATACATTGACATTTACACAGAAGTGGACATAGTAAACAACTTCCTTACTTAAGTGAAAGAGATACTACTGGTCAAATATTACTCCGTTACAAGTAAAAGTTTTAAAGACAGATTTTTACTTAAGTAAAAGTACAGAAGTACTCGTTTTTAAAAGTACTTAAGTATCAGAAGTAAAAAGTAAATGTCAATGCATTGTTTTATTATTGTTGTATGTAGCTAATACTTACAGTACCATATGCCCAGGGGCGTCATGCAAGCCAAAATTCTGGGGGGGCCACAATTTGAGACGTTGCAATTGTTTTCTGACGGGTGATATGGATCATGTTAGGAGGGGTCAGGGGTTTCTCCCCCTGAAAATGTTTAAATTCTGGCTGCTAAACATACCATTTCAATGCAGTTTGGGAGGGACAGAAATACCTTAACGGAGCTATCAGCAACCGTCCTTTATCTGAGGACTAAGTTAAAGTATCTATTTTGTAAGTTTATGTAAAAGACAGGTTGATGAAAGAACTGTAAGCTCAAATTCAAAAGCTTTTGAAGTCTACTTCTTTAAAGCATGTTTACACACACACTTACTGTACACTTAGGCCTACACATGATTTTAAAAACAGTACCATTCCAGTTTTTATGTTATGATTTTAAATTGGTATGTGACCCAAGAACGATCTTACATTAAAGGTGCATAAAGGTGCTGAGGTCTGACTTTGTGGTGCTCTGAAATTAAGTTATTTTAATATGAATATGTGATGAAGGACTTTAAAAGAAGTTTGACAGATTTCAGTGCAGAATAAGGTTAACACTACCCCGTTTATTTGAATCAGATAACGTTACTATGGCTTATTGGCTTTGTATGGCAGGCAGTAACGTTAGCCAACTAGTTTACGGTTAGACTAGGCTAGCTATCGATAACGTTACACTGACACAAAGTTAATGCTCTGAATTTGCAGCTAATATCAAATCCATAACTTTTTAATCAAGTTAAAATTTCCATGTCAACCACAAATAATCCCACTACCTTTTAATATCATCCGATAACTAATTCAATGCCGATTTGTTGCTTTGCCCACTTACCACTTCAAGACCATCTGTAAAACATTGCCAGCTCAACGTGCGAGACGAGTGAGTTGCTTGAACATACACAGCAAAGATTCTAGAGCGCTACGCGCGTGGTGCTCTGGATTTCACATACACAGACACCATATTAGGAAAAAGGGGCGGGCTGATGCTGACCGATTTATTACAGATCCAGAAGAATACATTTTAGTCGTTATAGGCTCTGGTAATTATGGAGCATAATAGGAATAAAGTTGTGACAAAAAAATTATCAGGGAGGAAAAATCTGAGGGGGCACGTGCACTTTGAATGGGCATGACGCCACTGCATATGCCTCTGAATCTATCCCTGCCTACCTACCCTCATATCAATACTAAATTTATTTCTAGAACACAGTTCCAGTAGTGGGATTGAATGTGAGACTGAATAAGTGCACTCAATAACGTCCACAATGCTTTCGACACCCAAATGGCTGTTCCCTCAAATAATGCCCTATTTAAAGTTTTTTGGCTTTTAATATGAATATGTTAGCCTTACTGTTATCTATAAGCTAGTGTGCTCCAAACCTTCTGACGTCAACCCGATGTCGGGTTATGACTTCAATCCGACGTCGGGTTCTGACGTCAACCCGACTTTCATTTCTGACCAAAATCCAACATCTGTCCGAGCAAAATCATCCCCTGACTGACGTTACTATCTACTCAAGGACCTTGACAGAAATGTAGTGGAGTAACAAGTATGATATTTGTCTTTCAAATGTAGTGAAAAAACAATACTCAAGTAAAGTAGGCCTACTCAAAAAGTGTAGGCCTTATAAAGGACTAAAGTAAATGTACTCTGTTACTGTCCACCTCTGCATTTATGGAAACATGTATGTGCAATATATGTGCACAATAAATTATAAAACTTTATGAATATTACATGTAATGCTATTTTTGTCTTCATTTATAAATATTTTTTTATGTAGGCAATCAATATATAGCCTACAGGCTCAATGCATATATTGCAGTATATTGAAAAATATTAGCACTAGTTGTTTCCCATATGGAAATGTATTATGTAATAGGCTATCATATCACATTATATGTTGCAGTATATTCCCATATATTTTCATTACGTAAGGGGAAGATGGTGTATGCACGTTACTTTAAAGAACAAGTGAAGTTAGACTCAATTTTTAATTATTGTTTATAGGCTAAGCATGCAGTCTTTTGAAGGAACCACAGGGTAAGAATGATTTCCTTTAAAAGCCGACATATCTATAAAATAGTCAGTCCCATCAGAGTCATTGTTTATTTTGCATGAGGAACAGCCCATCCCATAACTAAACCTTTGTAAAATAGCAATTAATCAATCAAATCAGATGAAATAAGAACCTGCAGCGGTGGCCATCAGTTTAGTTTGAACTAGATTGAGGACAAAGGCAATGGAGTCCCTTTTGTGTCTCCACTCTCCTCCAGTTGTTTGTGAAAGTTGAGCAGGACCTTTAAAAGTGTTCTTGTTATATAATGATGCCATCTGACAAAAGTTTCCCACAGAGAAAAGAAAAAGAGTGCAGACCGCCAAACACAAGAACCACATTTTCCCACTGGGACAAACTGAATCGGGGACGATGAAGCTTAGTTACACTTCACAAAAAAGAGACGAGGAAGAGGGACGGAGACAAAAGAGTAAGAACTTTATAGAATGGGTGAATGTATGTTAATATCTGTTTTCATATTAAACACTGTATCTAAAAGAGGAATGACAGAAAGTGAAAGAAAGAAAGAAAGAAAGAAAGAAAGAAAGAAAGAAAGAAAGAAAGAAAGAAAGAAAGAAAGAAAGAAAGAAAGAAAGAAAGAAAGAAAGAAAGAAAGAAAGAAAGAAAGAAAGAAAGAAAGAAAGAAAAAAAGAAAAAGAAAGAAAATACTTTTTCTCTACAGGTAACTTGATTCCCACTGTGGCATATGGCCCGGGCTGGCCGGCTGGAAAACCCATGAGTGAAACTCTGTCATGGGATCCCTGCTTAGAGGAAGGAATCCCTCAAAAAGAACAAACGTCCCCTTTCTTTTATTGACGCTTTTGTTACAAAACAGGTGTGTGTGTGTTTCGTGACAGAATGATGAAAAATACACTTTTCTGGGAGTTGCTTTCAAAAAGAAAGAGTTACAGAACACACCAAAGTATGACTCATCTAAACACAGACACTTAATTATGCTGTTCTAGTTATATTAATATTAGCTCAAATTTAAATTCTCAGGAATTAATTAATTAACTACACAGTTCATTAACACAAAACTTTAACTTTACTTCAAAATAAAAAAAGCAGATTTATCATTTCTGATCCTTAGAATATGTTTATTATCTTACGTGATGCAGAAAAACAGGATGTTAAATTTCAGATGAAAACCATGAGAATCAAAACAACTCTGATGTTCTGGTAGCAGCTCAAATCATCTGATTGCAATTGAGTGTTTGTTAAGGATGTACTAGAAGGGAATCTGATTGAATATTTCAATGAGGCTGATAAGACATCATCTGTAAACCACATCAGCTCTCTCTGTGGCCCTTGATTTGCATGGGTACAGCAGGAGTGCTAATACAATCCTGTAATGATTTTCTCAGTCACAGAGAAAGTTAATCAGACATCCTGTCTCTCTCTCTCTCTCTCTCTGTGTGTGTGTGTGTGTGTGTGTTTAATTAAAGGTGAGTAATGACTGAGAACGGAGCATGTGTTGTGAATGTGGCACGCCTTGGGGGCCAGGCCAGACCTGAAAAACCAGCTAGCGCTTTCAGTCCAGAGAGCTCTGATATGGCACGTCGTCTCTACCTCACTGCCAAGTGCTGAAACCATCCAATGCTTTCAACTTCTTCGCTTTTCAATCACACCTGAAGTGAACATTCACTCATTCTACCTGTTCAAACTCCTTTCAGAGAGGGTTTCCATTTTGTTTTTGTGTCCCAGCTCTGTTAGCAGGAGTGTGTGCGAGGGAAAGTGAATGTGGACTATGCTCACTTCAGTCGATTAAAGGAGGGGGAGTGGAGGGATTGATTCTGTGGAGAGAGAAGCCCCACGACAGGGAACTGATCGTACAGGTAAGCCAGATTGCAACTGGGTTTTACCTATTTTCACTTTGTACTTTCAATTTCCTGTCATCTTGGGACCTCAGAGAGTCTCTGGCTGTATGCCTCAGAGGTGTGTGTCCAATGTAGGAAAGTTATTGAGATGGACAGATTGTGTATATTCAAAGCGAGTTGAATAAGTGGCTATTATTCAACTATCTGTTGTATGAAGCTAAAATAGTAGCAAACCTGTTAACTAAAGTAAACAAACTCTCAGATCTCAGTAGGTCGGATCATGTTTCATGGCAGACACACTAAAACGTAAACTTTTGCTGTTCTTAACTTTTCTACCTGATCTGACCCTTAAAAAATATTTTTTGTTGGTATTATGTAATATATTCAGGTCAATTTAGTCATAAACTGTTTTTACAAGTTGTAAATAAAACAAAGATTGTTGGAGTGTGTTTTACAAGAAAATATTTTTTCAGTCTATCTACTTCAACATTTCACATTCAATTAATGTTTGCCAATTCTTTGTAATACTTTGTGAGACTTACTAGCAATTTCTGCACTATTGTTTTCAGTGTATTACATCAAGTTTCACAAATAATTACAAGTTACCACATGAAGAATCTGAGGGATATTAGTCCTAATAATATGAGAAACTAATAACAGTACATATGATGTATAATATTTGAAGGCCTGGTGTTAGTTTACTTCCTCTCCCTTTGTGTTTATGACTAACATCTGATAATGATGATATTGAACTAACAAGGTTCCTAGTAGGAACTATCACATTGTTGTTTTTTTCCTTTTCCGAGATGACAAGAGGATGTGCTGTTCTGCACATCCTCTGAGAGTCTGATAAACACACAATCACGTTTTTAACTTTCTTTTTGACTTCGATTGCATCCTTAGACTGACATTGCAGACGAAGCTCTGGCAGGCCAGTCACTGCTTACTGTGTCCTGGTGTTCTGGAACAACACTGAGGGTTCCTGTAAACAGTCTGGCTGGGTTCATTTAGACTGAAATTTTCTGCTATGTATTTTGAAGCAGTAGTTTTTTTAGTGAGTGAGGAGTTGGGGACACGTTTAAGAATCCGGCTTCAGACGGACACATACCTACCTGTAACAGAAGTGATGAATGGACCATTGTTCAAGTCAAGGGAACTGAGGACTGATCTTGTGTGTATAGAAAGGCTGTAGTCAGGAGGGCTGTGACGTGCACTGAAGGCCAGACATGCGTGAGCGCACCTGTGATCTAATCGCTTTTTTACTGGTTAAATATTGACTCCTGAGTCCTGATCTTAACTCAAATTGATCAAATTGATTGTTACACCAAATTGACTGACAGTGACACACATATACGTTTATGAATTTGACCTACGGTTTAACTCATTAGTTAATAGATTGGTGGATTACATTACACCAATTACAAGTGGTTACATTCTAGTCAGAAACAATCATAAGCTTATTTAAAATGAATGAATAAATAAATATACAATTATGAGCCAATTGTTAGAAATCAATCAGAAAATTGTTAGAGTTATTACCACACCTTTTACTGGCAACAATTGAAAGAAAGCACTTCCAGGGAAGATAGACAGACTGAGACAGAGTGAAAGATCACACTGGGTGCTTTCTAGAGTTGCAGTTTCACTCTAAAGCTGAGACGAAAAGCTGTTCAAAATTTATACACTACTAAATACTTTTTTGAAACTGGTATAATTGATAAATACGATTAATACAATTATGTGTATAACTCATATGGTGATTTGTATTTCTGTGGAGCAGTGTTGGGTGTAATTAATTACTAAATAATCGAATTACTGTAATTTAATTGCCTTCTTCCTTTACACACTTTGTTCAGTTCAAGCATCATTTATCACGGTTGATATCGGATTTGTAAAGAGAGTGATTAGAACAGTAATCTAATTGCACTATTAATGATGTAATTAGTAGCTAGTAATTAATTAGTTTTTTTATAGTAATTTACCCAACACTGCCGTGGACAATGAGATTAAAGCCAACACACTTTTTTGAATAATATAACAATTTTATTTTAGCTCTTTTATTTACATATCTTCATTTTCTAAAACATTATTTATGATACTGTCCTTTATTTTTTATTTTCTGATTTTAGAATAAGCTTGTTTAATTTTTATTTTTATTATCAGCTTTTGATCCAGAAGCAAAGTGTTCTGTTTTTTTTTTGTTTTGTTTTTATTAGCCAAGATTTAAATTGTTGAGTTGAATTTAGCAGAAATGTGGCTCTGGCAGGATTCAAGGTTTGTCTTGTTCTGTTCCAGCAGCTGTGTTCATCTGTGAGATTGTAAAGTGGCTATAAATTAAATGAAGTGGCACAGCCTGACACTTCAAACCTGAGAGTGTATTATGGTCTGTTTTATGGTGGTGTGAAACCGAGCTCCATGATGTCCTGTGATTCACCTTGTAGCTCAGGCAACAGAATTTACAACTATTTGCTGTTCTTTGGTGGTACAGGCGCTGTATTTTTCTTTCCATCAGCGCTGATTGCTTCTGTCAGAAATACTCATAAGAGTCAGCCTCGGACGTTATGGCCTGTCTGGAACAGAAGAGGCTGTTTTACGAAGCGAGGCACTGAAAATAGGAGGATGAGCTTGGCAACTGTGTAAATAAATGCAGGTTATTAGGTGCCTCTAAAAAAATTTTAGAGGCACCTAATAACCTGCATTTATTTAAATGTATATTCTCATCTCAGATCTAGATTATTCGGTTTACTTACTTCCTTGAGGTGATAAATAATAGATGGACATCTGTTGATAAATAATATAGTAAATAATGCACATGAATCTGCATATAAATTGTAAGGCACAAAAATGACCGATTACCGATATTAAAAGTAATTTATTGATGATTATCTCCACATAATCCATATATTTTGCATTGTCCCTGACAAATAAACAAATAAATAAAATAATATTAACTAAAAAAATATTTTTTGTGTGCAAGTGAATTCAAGCATCACAGCAGTATAATGTACCATATTAAAATAGATACTCATTTTGAGATTTCCAAAAATTACATTAACAGTTTTATTAAATTAGTGTTTTTAAAGATTTTCTTTGCCAACAGAGTTCTCTTTAAAAGTGTTAATCTAAATTTAAAAGTAGAGGAAATGAGCATGAACAATAACAATTTCAATATCATCTGATACTGATTTTTTTAAAGTCTAATACTATACCTTACTAAAAATCTTTATCATACCAGCCAAATGACCTCAAAATAAAATGGGGGTTCAGTTCTAATTCACTCCAAAGTCCATCACAGTTAAAAGTGTCCCAAAATTAGACAATTGGTAAACATATTTTTCACTGATTTGCTCATTTAAACTGAGAAGACCCTGAATGCTGCTGTGACGCCCACACTGTCAGAATGTGTAATAGCTGTTATGAAACTCAAGGTTTTGCATGTTTTGTAGTTGCCAGTTTATTTGAATATAATCAGCAGGTGAAGAATAGACTTTACCTGTGCTCGAAAGTGTGTGATCATCACTCTAAAAAATTGCGCTGTAAAATAACAGTAATCTACTGGCAGCTGTGGTTGCCAGCAAAGTACTGTTATTTAACAGCCCTCTACTGTTAATATATAGAGCTCTGCTTTTTTACAGTATGTTACTGTAAAAATACCATGGAAGGAAACTCATATCATTTGGGAAACCGATTGCTTCAAACAGTTCAAGTTTAAAAGTATTTATACTGATAGTACTGCAAACTTACTTCATTAAAGTCCATTGAAAATTAATATCTTTAAAACTGCAAACACCTAATGTGTAATAGTGAATTAATTAAAAACATGACTTTAACTAAAACCTTTGCAGTTCGCATTTAGCGCACATTAGCATACATGTACAGTGCTAAACTTAGCAAGGAGATTGTCACTGCATCAGCAACTACACAGTTACTGCTTTTAAATAAAGCAACAGGCAGCATAACATCAGTGTTTCTTTGCTCATCTTTGACTGAAGCATAGGCTCTACTCTCCAGCACAATGGTGACCCACAAAACTAATTAATTAAACTAACAGATCTCTCCTATATCATCCTGTGCAAAACACATTAAACACTTCAGTTAAATATTTACTCTCCTTATCAGTTATTGACTTCGCATAACTTTTTTCTATGAACTTTTACTAATATTTCAGTGAAATTAACTTCTTTTGTTTAGTAAATATGACTGTTAATTTTTACAGAATATTACTGTTTTTCCTTGATTTTACGGTAATCTACTGGCAGCTGGGTTGCCAGTAAATTGTTTTTATACAGTTTTATGCTGTAAATTAATTTACAGTTGATTACCGTTAAATTACGCTTCACTCTGTTTGTTTTTTTTATTTGCCGCATTTAACCCCTTTAACCCCACTGCAAAATCTTCAGTTTTAAATGAACACTTGTGTGTCCACACTTGAGTTAATGATATTGATTTTTTAAACTCATCATTCACTATTTTTTTTTAAACTGTGACATCAGTTAGACACACACAGACATCAAGAATCAGCCAATGAATCTCAACAATGGTGACAATCCACAAAAAAGATAACATCATATCTGAACATCACAAAACACACTACTTAGAGTCAACACAAAATTAACAGCAAAAATAAAAGCAAAAAGTACAAATTAAAGAAAATAACCAGACAATTCAGCTGCATAATTTATTCATGCCGCAAAGCATGCTGGGAGTCATGCACAATTTTTCTTGTTTGTACTTTGGGTACCAACCCAACATGCATTGCAGCATGAAACTTTTTTATTGTCACCATTGTTGAGATTCATACGCCAATTCTTGATGTCTCTGTGTGTCTCTCTAATATTGAAGTTCAAAATGTTCTGAGCATTAACTTTTTAAAATCCTTTATATTTTCTGGTTGTCAAAACTCTGATAGATCTCAATCTGTAAACTCACAGTAATACCATAATCAAAAATACAAAACATCACCCATATAAATACATCAGACATTAAATTAGATCAGTGAATCAGGCCAATAGATGATGATTGTAACCATTAACAAAAATGTCATCTAATCCTGTTTTCTTTCAGCTTTTTTGCAATGGTAAATGTATTTTAAAGACACATTTACCTCAGCCAAAGAAAAACTAATGTTCAAAAGTCAAGGATCAAGAGCCCAACTAAAGCAATCACTAAACACCATCATGGTAACGAAATGAAAATAAAATGACATCTAAACCTCTGTCACCTTTTAATAAGACCTTCTGTAGACGTCTGACAGAAATAAAGTCAAACTGGTTAGTAATAAGTGAAGCTGGTAATGCTGTTTGGGGAGTTATTTAATCCTCTTCTGCTGAGATCTTCAGAGATTTAATATATTTTATCTTCAGTTGATTTAATCTTTTGTCTGTTATTCTTGTTCCTCTTTCCTTCAGTGATTCTGCTTGTTAACAGCAGGTGTTCATCAGTGTCTGAATTAACTCACTTGTTTTTAATCACTCAGTCAATTGGACTATATTATTGAACTAATGTAGGGAATAGTGACTGAGGGTATAGGGTGTGATTTGGAACACAGTCTCTTAGTGTTGACTTTGAGCGCTGTTAATTCACAGTATATTCCTGTAGGCTACTTTCTCGAAAACGACATATATCCCCCATAATGCATTTTTTCTACGGTATATTGCTGTTTTAATGGAAAACAGCATATTACTGTCAAAATGTGGCCCTTTTTTACAGCAATTTTTTTACAGTGTACGTAGGAGTGAGAGAGTCTGCAAGGATTTACACTGTATGAATACACTTGGTTGGGTGATTTGGGGGAAATGGATGGAGATTATGTGTGTTCTGGGTTATTCAGCTTTTTATAGCCCAAGCCATTTTCATTTGAAGCAGCTCTGATTGTATTGTCGAGGATACTCCACAGTCAGTTAAATCTAAAACCAACAGCAGTATAATTTTGAGGTTGCGGCGAGCCACTGCAGTTCAGTACGTCAGCGATGCACCAGAACTGAGAGTTCACCGAGTACAAACAAATTTGTTCCAAAATGGACCATGACTTTGCTGGACAGACTAATGGAGCTGGACACACTGTGCTGCATTAAGCGATAAAAAAAAACGGAAGTTGATGGGTGTGAGATGTTTATTGCTAACAGATATATGGGAGAATGATATACACCTCTCAGGCATTCTTCAACAGATTGACAAACCATTTAAACATATAATCACTCTGTCAAGTGCCTAAAAAGCACATAAACAGGGAGCTGACATGAAATCTAATCGAATGGAATCTTGGTGGCAGATATGCCTTGTAGATATAGAATTAGCAGTAAAAGCCGTATAAAATAAAATTACCATTTTGAGACTATAATGCACAAATAGGGTTTCTAAACTAATTAGTAGTTTACTGAACATAATGAATCATGTATTCAGTGTGGTTAAAGTCCCCAAAACAGCAATTTGGACTAATTAACACTTTGTTTTATACAATGCAAACTGCTTTTTCAAAATCCGTATTGCCAAAGGCACAGCACACAAAGAAAACATTGTGAAATGTTGTTGTTGTTGAAGTAAAATGATAACATTAAATCATTCCTTGCTTGTTTATGAATTGTAAATTAAAATCTATAAACCAAAGTGGTATTGTATGTTTAAACATTTTTTCCCTTCTTGTTTTTTTTTGTATCTTTTTTTTTTCAGGACAAATCTAAAGATGCAAAGGGCGGCCACAGCATCCGTGACCCAATCCACAATAACACAGAACACCACAGCCACCACCAAGTCTAGAGAACAAATCCTCATGCAGAGTAAGTTTCAGATCTGTAGGATACTCTATTGCCCTGTTTACACCTGGTATTAAGATGCTTTTTGGTGGATCGGATCACAAGCAGACGAGGGAAACACATACTCGTTTCACCTGGTGTTTTAATCTGTCTCTTTTGTCCACTTTCAATCACTTCTGTCCTGTTTTCTTCGAGGCCGGGTCTATGGGTGGGTGCATGTATGGGTTTTTTCCCCCCCAGATCTTTCGATCTAATGGACAGCTTTCGTTTCTGCTCTAATAGCTAAAGTTTAAATCTCGTCTGGCTAGCGTGCTTCCGATAATGTTAACGCATTATGTCAGTAGGTGGAGAGAGGAGGTCTTTTGTGGCTGTTTGAACACATTCGACCACGTGAGAATCTACACTATGAAAGCAATCCGGTCGAATGTGTTTTCGACTATCTCTGGAAGTGGTCGAAAGTGGACAGGCTCAAATCGTTTTAGACCACGTGTACACCTGTATTTAGCGTTGTCAACTTGTGATCCGATTGACCAAAATGCATTTTAATACCAGGTGTAAACATGGCTAATGATAAAGTCTGACTGGATGCCCAATTTCTGACGTACTACACACGCTTGTGCTACGCTTGTAACATTCACTTTGATACGCCCAGTATAGACAGCCTGAAGGTGTTGCACTACGCTGTTCACGCTGTGTGAGAGTGAGAAATCTAGAGCATGAACATTCTCCTGGAACTTGATCTACAGCATGTTTTAAAAGATTCACATTAAATTTTGTATTGCGTATTCTATACTGGTTTACTAATTTTGTGATCAAATGAACGCACTTCTCTAAATGTCTTTATTGATGTCTTTTATTGTTATTTTTTTAACTACAGAACTTTTCTTACAATTTTTTTTCTTGCAGTTTTGGCTTTATTCGTTTTGAGGTTTTCATTGAATGATTGGAAGGGAACATTGTGATCTTCCCAACCCTAGGCTTAATGTTCACAATATGTCTAATACAACATTCCCTGTTTGTTGTGTTCACAGGCTCAGGAGCCATGATAGCTATAATCGTCATTGGTATAATCATCATTCTCACGTTTTTGCTTATAGTCCTCAAGACGTACAACAGGTATGGCAACATTTTGATGTAAACCATAATGAATGACTTGCATACCATGAGGTGAACAGAACACCTTTTCTATCTCCTCACAATAGCAGGACAATTTTAGACAGACCTTTTAATGAGGCCTAAAAATAGACATGACATTCTCAAAATCCACTTGAGGACAAAGACACTCTTAAAATGTTCTCAGGGCTGAATGGAACAGGTTATGGAAGATTTAGATCTGTTTAATTAAGAGAACTAAATTTATTTATATGGTTTATTGTTTTAGTGATCATCAAGTCATCAATGTAACATCAAAAGTTAATTTAAGCATCACATTATAATGTACACTATGAAAAGCTTTCATGCATTTTTTTAACCAACTCTTGAATGTTGGTAAGTTTCATAAAAAATGCAACATTTTAAACAAAAAGCTGAAAAAATTGAGATTTTCCCCCCTCAAAAAGACTACCATGCGCATAAACAATGCTTTTATGGCTTGTTTCTGCTCTTATCATGACTGTGTTTAGTTCCGGAGATTCTGTATTCTTTCAGAAGTTATGTCATATAGCGCCCCCTAACATATAATAGTGAAAGCCTGCAAATACCGTCAATGGCAGTAAGCTATGGCTGCATCCGAAATCGCATACTTCCCTACTAGCCTTATAGTAGGTGAAAAACAGTATGTGTCAAAAGAAGTATGTCCGAATTCATAGTAGGCCTACTCATAAAAGATTCTGAAGTGTGCATACTATTTTCGCACACTTCACTATCTCATGAGGCTACTGGAGAGGGTTTATATGAATGGTAGTGAAGCAACGTAACTGCATGCTGGACGGTCACATGAGAATGACAACATGGCGAATGCAGTACATACTGCACACACTCATAGAACATACTTTTTTAGCGGTCCTGAAGTAATTACTCATTCAAAATAAGTAGCCTACCTACTACTCAAGAGAGGATGCGATTTCGGACGCAGCATTGTCTCATAAATAATGGAAAATTCTGTCATTGGAAGGGAAAGAGTTAAATTATTAGCATTTTGTAATATCTATATTATATATAAATTACTTCAATATCGGCCGATAACCAATATGGTACTCATCCTTACATTTGACTCTTTAATTTGATTCTTTTTGAAGAACATTTATCTATTTATCAATCCATTTTTTCAATATCTGACAGGAGGACACATGCGAAAAGGATGATGGCAGGAGGCTCCAGCAAACCACGGAAGAAAGTGTCCACAACTACTACAAATACAAACATGCCCATGAGCAACGTGGGCGCGAACTCACTCTCTGGAAGCTTTGCGCAGTCTAACGCGTCCTCAGACAACGGCTTCCGCATTCCACGGGTCGAACTGGGAAATGTGGAGCGAAGTAATGGGGAGCATTTCAGCACCAACAGTGGCTCAACTATTGTGACAATACACGACATGCCATCAATTGATAACACATAGCAGAATGTGCAAAGACATACCAACATGAACAAAGGACCAATGGAAGAGGCCCCGGGTCATATCTGAGCACACACCATTAACTGTACATTCACAGCCCGTTTAGGATATGATTGAACTTTGAGGACTTTAAAGATTGAAAAGTCCACTTTAAGAGTCTGGATATGATAATGAAGAACTTGAAGAACAGTAGCTACAGACAAGTGTCTTAGCATTTGATGGGTTCATAGGTTTATTTTTAGGACCCAATTTGGTGATGAAATGTAGGTTAAAACAATGTAGGTTTCTGCCTTGAGCGGAAAACGTTTTTTTTTGTTTTTTAAATTAAATTGGTGGAAGCCAGAATCAGTTTGAGATGTTAAGGATGCTACATCAATGTAATTTGTGTATTACCAGGACATTTGCACTCTTAATAGAAAAGGCTTTAATATAAGATTGTTCAAATACACTGTTTAAAATGTGCTGAATATTCAAACTTTACATTTATGCACCTTGCAGAGACTGATTCAAAGCAGCTTAGATTGCATTCAAGGTATATATTTTGTTCATGCAATTCCTGGAACTCGACAGTGCTAGTGGCATTTTAGGGCTCAAGACTAGAACGCCATTGGTGAGATGGGGAAACAGTGATCTTCAGATGTTATCTTGTATGTTGGTGGTAATTAGGCAACATCTTTAGACTTGCTTGATTTGTCAACAATTTGTTGGCTTATCCTTGTTCTTTTCAAGGAGTCAGTTGAAAAGATTCAAACATGTTTGTGAGTTAGCTGTTCGAATCAGACTCATTACTGAGTTTGCAGCTGATTACATCACTGAATAATGAATAATTTTTTATGACAGATTTTAAATGAATCGGCAACTACTGTTTGTTTTTAAAGCTACATATATATACAGTTTTGTCCTAATAAAAAAAATTCTAAAAGATATTCAAAAATGTCTCAAAATATTACAGGTCAAAGTTAACAGAGTAAGGCCAGAATGTAATAAATTGTAAGTGAAAAAGATTGACGATGCCATTTCATATGGCACATAATAGAATCAGAATCACTACAATGACGCCATCAAAAGAGAAATGAACCATTTTTATCGGTTCTGTAATTTGTCAACTAAAAAGTCATCTGATTTCCAAATATGGTTTAATTGTAGGAGTCACGATGTCTATGACTGCATTTTTCTTTAGTCTGGAGCCCTGTATTATGAATGCAGAAAACTTCAGGTCCAGACATTTCCAGAAGTAACCTCAAGAAAATTTATTCACAATCTGCAACAAAACTAAAGTATTGCATAAGAATAAAAGAAAAAGAAAGAAGAAAAATACAGCAGTGCTTGATTATATAAACATGTAGAAACTTTTTTTTCCTCTGTGAGCACAGTTATACCAAGCTCTCTGGCTAATGTTCTAGTGCAACATCTTGACAAAAACACTCAGGCACAAGATAAACTTTTTCTCAAGGAGATCAACTCACATTTTGCATGAGAAGAGAGTGACATTTACAGCTATAAAGAAAAGATGCAAGAACACATATTTTGAGTACTGCTCAAAGGCAACCATGTCAAGAAGATCAGTCCTTTCAACACAAGTGTCTTCATTACAACTATGATAGTGTCTTGAGTTATTGTTTAATATCAAGTGCAAAAGTAAATTCAAAGTAATGGATACTGGAAGTAAATGATTGTTAAAAGCCTTTCTGACATACATTATGTGTCAATTTCATCATACTGATTGTGGCTCTGTCTGGATCTAGTGTCCATCTATTGCTGAAGAATATGGTTAACTGAAAGAGTTGCTTTTTATTTGTATTTTTCTGGAAAGGAATTACTTCAAGACCAAAGAGAGTACATATAAGGCATTGACCTGTTACACACACTCAGTTTGTTTGAAAAAAGAAAGACATAACACTATAAATTAAGTACAAATATAAGCAATTTTACCTGAGAAGGAAAAAGTATGGCACATATCAAACATACATAACATGATGGCCTTTTAAGTTAGCTAAATACTGAGAAATAAATTAAAAAGTCTTTCCTAAATTTTGGACACTGGTTAGTATTTTTTAAACAGTTAAGTGCTCAGTTAAGTGCAGTAATTCTATGGGACTTAAGACAGTTGGGCCGTACTGGCTTTGTTTCACGCTGGTTACATCCTCACAAGTGCTCATAACTTATCTATGAATTGTGCCAGTTATTTCACCTGATTTGAAGTTTCATTCAATATTGGGAAGATATTTTTATGCTTCATCAGCCAATTGTTTGGTCTTTGAAACCTCTCCGCGTTGGTTTTTAACGAACACACCAAAAAATTATTTCAGCAACAGCAGAAAATTACAGAATAGAAAAATAAATATCAATCCACCTGTTCACCTTTCATTGAAAAGCAAATGAAGAGGACAAAAATAAAAATTTGACACATTTTATGATGCAAGTACTCCGCGTTGGATCACGTCCGAACCGTAACGTCTAGTCATCGGGCTTCGAAGTCTTTGGGCGTGACACCTCTTGCCCTGCTCTGATTGGCCAAGATCAGACTCTTCCAAGTGGCTTCGGTTCTCACTTCCTGTCCGCAGCCGGGTCCTAATTTGAGGGGTGGCGGCGGCGGGACTTGTATTAAAGGTTTTTAAGGAAGTTTGGTCCACCACGTCGTTTCTGTCCTGCACATCTTTCCCTGCTGATGTTCTCTCACTCCGTTTGGGGATTCTGAAACTGCCCCAGTTTTTCAGATGCCGCCTAGTTGTTCCATTTGGCACTAATTTTCCCTGATGTTGGCTCGCGTTTGTCTTCCTCGGCGATCCGTTATACATGGTCGGAGAACTAGAAGAGGTTCTGCTGTGAGACAGCAACAATCTCTCATCCATGTTGTCGAGCTCTGTCTTATCCTCAATAGACTTCGACTGCCTGAGTTTGTCTTTGATGGACACCTGTTCCCACAGCTTGCTCCTCCTCCTGTCCTCCAGGGGGCACTCGCTCTCCTCATCTCTTCTATGAGATTCACCACCCCTAAGCCTGCCCTCCGAACGTTTCGCTGTAGCTGACGCCGCGGTCTCATTTTTCTGAATTTTACAAGCTCCAGAGCCTGAATCAATGACCCCAGAACTGGGAACGTTGTCCATGACCAGGCTGTCCAGTCTAGGAATCTTTGCAGGCTTGTCTGCTTCGATATGCCTTGAGACTCTATAAGGGTTGCTCCCCTTCTCAGTGGAGCCCAGGGCGCTGTTCTGCCCGCAGTGACCCTTTAGAGGTTGGGGGGACGCAGGCACGGGTGGCGCTGTTCGAAAGTAAAACATGGCCTCCTCCAAACGTCTAGTAGAGGATATACCTGACCAGGAGAGAGAAGGAAGAGGTAACAGTTAAAAAGGAGGGGAAAAAACTTTTTCAGTGAGTGTAGTAAACATCATACTAACCGGCAACACGTCCCTGCTCGAGCAGCCTGACGTGGTGATGAAAGATCTGTTCCTGCACTCGGCACACGGTCCGTTTAATCCTCTCCCGGCGGCTGACCATGTACGTCAAATTACGCACCTGAACACATACAAGTACGCAAGACATGAAATCTACTAAAAAGAAACTAAACTTTTTAAAGCGATAGCCAACCCAAAATTTTACCCACCATTTCATTCCAATGTTTTTTATTCATCTTCAAAACACAAATAAAGACATTTCTGATTTTCTCTCATCCTTCTTGGCATTCAATAACCTATAAGGTTTGTTCTCTCGTGTCAAACAGGTACGGATGAGCTTCCATATTTGATGTGCTCTATGCATGTGCTTTGAACAATGTTTATGAACAGTATTAACAAAACCCTAAATGAAATCGGTTCTTCATGTAAAGCGATTATCTCTTGGGTTAAACCACTTGATTTATTTGGATTACTTTTATGGTGTATATTTGAACTTTTTAATGCATGAAAGGTTTGTTAGATGGACAAAAATGATGAGAATTAAAAAAATATCCTAATTTGTGTTAAGAACATGAATGGGTTTGCAAAGACATAAGGGAGTCAGTTTTCTTACATGGAAGAAATTCTCTCATCATGAGAAACCAGAGGCTTATAGGTAAATGACACATTAAAAGAATGTTCTGGGTTGAAGACAAGATATATCGAAAACATTTGGAATTGAGAAAAAAACAGGCCAACGTTTCAGAGGTTTTCAAAGCAAAAATGAGAAAGCTTGTGCTCAAAGCACTTACATCAACTTCCTTTTTGAAGTGGGAATAGTTTTTAGGTTACCAACATAATTCTTGTGGCTGGAGTTCACAGTTACATCACATTCCTTACTGTTTTCTTCCTATCAGAATAATAATTAATTAAATTCCTTCACTACTGATGTTTAAGCCTGCCAATTTAAAAAAAAAGAGGGGGATATTGTGTATTTTTTCTATTTGGGTTTGGCCTAACAACATATTTTATGGTCTAAAGGTAAAGATACAGGTGTGATAATGACTGTGGTGACAATGAAACTAGGACAGAAATTATGTAAAATGTTAATGATAAAACTAGTTTAAAACCTTGATAAAATATGAACTACATTGAACTATCTGCAACTCACTGTTAATTTGAAATCAGGGAAGGCAGAGATTGGATCCTGCTATCTAACTGTCCTGAGCTGTGATTGGCTGCTGCTATCTTTCCTCATACTGATCTAAGCCCATTTTGAAGGTGGTAATGTGGCTCTGCAAAACGTACCCTCTCTAGATCCTGTCGTAAATGCGTGAAGAGGCGGAGTCGCCGCAAAAGCACTTCCTGTTCTCGCCGGGCAAGGCTATCTTCTTCTTCTTTCTTCGGCATGATGAGCGGCTGGTTAAAGTTCACTTTCCTTTTCAACTTCCAGTATTGTAACAAGAAGTCCACCATCTCTAGGGGCAACTGCAGGTGCTCGGCAACTTCATCAGCGGCGACAAAGCGATAGAATTCATCCTCGAGCTGCTGGACTCGAAGCTTACGCTCACTGAGTCTGGTCTCTTCTGTGTTTTGTGCAAGTTTGGGCTGTGAAGGGGATGAGATGTCTGCTCCCCTATTTCTCCTTCTGTCTTCACTGGTCGGGACCTTCACTGGCCTGTCATCATCCCCCTCTTCCTCATTCCAGTCCATGCCTGAGTGCTTAGGACAAAAAGATTTGAACTTGACTTCATCTGCATCTGTGAGGATCGTGTTCATCTTCAACCCACAATGCAGACCGCAGGTCACATGGAACGCCACACGGCAACTTTTGGCAGAACACTACGGGGATTTGGAAAGAGTGGATGTCAGGATTAAACCACAGAAGATGGGGAAAATGTGAAGCAGATTTTTTTGTTTCTACATTTAAACAAAATGTAATGCTACGTTCAGTATTTTTTGTTCATGTTGTGCTGGCTGACATGGCAGTCAATAGTAAATTGAAAATAACATCTAGTGGCGTGGAAGCAGCATCTTGTAAAACAAAATGTTTTAAGTCACTGCAGAATGTGATATTGACCAGTTTTT